ATTCAAAACGAAAACGATAACCTCGGTATTGTTTATAATCGAACTGCGCAAAAAAGTCTGATAGATGTTTCTGATCATAGAATTCGGTCTCATAATCAATGTCAGGGAAGTCATTCAAAAATCTCTGATATTCCCACAGCCAGAAACTAGTTGAGACACGACCAATGCTATATTTAGTGTGTTCGAGTCGATAGACCAACTCATTGAGGCGCGCTCGAGCACGCGCGTTCCTCAGATCCGGTGGCTTCATCACGTAAAATATTGGCATTACATTGTCAGCCCATATGTATTTATCTGAATTATTCACATGTCACTAATTGTGAATCTTCGAAGGCATTAGAACTGATGAACAAAAATCGTTGAATCGAATGAGACCAACCAGCTAGATGGACAAATGTTTGAATTGGTGAATTATCTCTGACGTATTTTTTCGGACTGATATCCACGGCGATCGATGAACATCCATAAATCGCGAGTGTCGCATAAGCGAAGAACAACACCCATGAAACGACCATAACATCCTTCCGAAGGATGAACGGTGCATATTTAGTGCCAAATAATCGATGCATGAACGGCTCTAAACTTGTATTCTAACAACCAATCTCGATCACAGTAACAGAATCAACTTTAATCAAGAGTTCACAGGAATCAACCGCAAAATTACACAACCGCAAAATTACTTCAATTTCTTGATTTTAACAAATGGAACTGTTTTCTCATTGCGCTGTTCGATTTCTTTCGTTCAACTATATTCATGTACATTCAACTTGACAAGTAGTTTGAAGTCTTCAAGAAGTAAATATACCCATTTTGAGCATAACTAAAACCGCTAAATGCTAAAACATGAATTCAGGAGAGCATTTTTTCAGTCAGTACAATCCAAAGTCACTCGATGTACGAAGAAGTTGTGAGCCATGGGGAAACATATGGAAGCATGTGGCGCGAAGGAATGAAACGTGCGAATTGATGTGTGGTGAATGTCAAGAATAACCTACGTTCTTCGCGTCTCATTTCGTCAGCTTTTCGCACGGCGTCTGTGCCCACAATGGCTCTGTTACGTTGATAACACGACGACAGAAGACCTCCAGTGGCTTCTCGCCGTCCACCATAAACCATTATTGAGGCAAAAAAGGTTATTTGAAAGAAATAGTCGAGCATCACACCTGACGCCATCAGAAGACAAAAATCGCTCACTGCTGGAGTTGAGCACAGGAAATAACCCAATGCTGCAAAAATCGATCTCAATGCAAGCAAAAGCCCGGGTATTGAGTGCAACTGAATCATGAACACGCACCATTTATTAGCGCTTTACACAATTCATATTGGACAGAAAATAAGAATGAACAA